CACCTACCGCAGCAGCGCAGCCCACAACCATTCTCTACCGTTTTCCCGTCGACGCACCTCTCACCATCCACAACGAAGCCCAGACACAGCGTATCTGGGCTGGTGCCGACCGGGTGTCAGCGACCACCATTGCCATTCAAACAGCGCCGCAAACACACCCTCATCAACCGAGCCATGCAGACATCTCCCAGGCCCCTGCAGCCACTCAACCAGCCTGTTGCCACCCAGACCGAGTCAGTATACATGCATTGAGACGCAAGCCGAAATTTTTTCACTGCCCCTCTACCCGCCACTCTCACAGCCAGCAGCCTTCCTCTCCCCCCGTACCAACATTGTCACCTCCGCCTCCAACAAACAGCAGCAGGAGTGAGAGGTGAAAAGAAGTCGGCTGGCTGACGTCCGATTGCTTCGACGGCGTCTAAAGCTTGGTGTAGGCGACGTTTTGAGGTTGTGATGCGGGTGCGATAGTCATTGATAAGCTCCCGGACAGGTGGCGTCATGTTGTGTAGAAAATAGTCGCGCCACATTGGCGTCTCCCTCAACTGATTCAAAAGACAAAGACAAAAGTGGGGCGGGGGGCCCTGCGCGGAGGGAAGAGCATCGGTGCGAGATTTAAGGGCAGCTTGGGCGAACAAATGGTATCTCAAGTTTTGGAAAGTGGCCGCTGTAGGAGCGCGGAACAAACAGGCGTAACAAGGCAAAGCGATTGCTCATCTGCAGCTCTTCCGCGCAAACTGGTAGGTGCTGAAATCTCAAATGGGGAATACTCCCAACGGCGTCAGGAGGAGTGGGCTTCGTGTCAATGTTGCCGGCGAGTTTGTTGGTTGCCGTCCATAGGTTGGTGTGGAGAACACCTCGATGGTCTGAGCCCGGTGATGTAGTCGGGGAGACTGTGGGTGCTGTCCTGGGTTTGGACGTCGAGCTGGTGTCCTGTGCTTGAGTGTTGTTGGGGTGGATTAAGAGGGGGACGTGTAGGATTCTGCAAGGGCGAGGTGTGTCGCGGTTGCGAGAAAGGTCCGGAACGGTGTTGGCAGTGTGTTGAGGGTGCAAGGTAAGCGACCATGGGGTCGTGCTGGTTCAGTGTCATGGCCGGTGGTGGATGTCCAGGGTGTGAGCGCGAAGGAAATCTGTGGTGTTGGGTGGGAAATGGGCAGTGGGATCCAGTCGGTAGTGTCCGTGGGATGCTGGAGGGTTCTGGTTGGGGAGTGGACCACGGGCAACTGGGTGAGTCGAAATGGCATCGACGAGCCAGTTCAATTCAAAAGGTTCAGTGTCCACTGAAGCAAAAGAAGTTCGGGTTGATGCGTAGCAGATGGGGCCATGGACAGCGACGGCTGAGAGGGTAATGTGAAGGTTGCAATCCCGGCAGGGGAACCTTCCGGCGGCTGCGGGCACGGTGGTGTCATCAGCGTCCATGCGGCTAAAAGTAACGGCCCAAGTTTGGGAGAACAAATCACAATCCGAATCCAAGAAAAGCTGCGGTGGTGAGAGTCTTGTCAAGGTGAAATACTTAAATCAAAATTCAAGAAAACAAGAACTTCTGAAGATCAAATCCGGCATGATTATCATGTAAAATGTGAGTTGTACAGCCGGGAGAAATCGCAGGAGATAGGCTTGTTTGTGACTCAGGCGCCGAAGGGGAATGGTGTGAAACGCGTGTCTAATCTGCCGGTGACTGAGCGGTTCACGCAGAGTAAGAGCCCACACGGTGAATCTGTTGGCGCTGCTTCGGTGGCTTGTGTTGTGGAAAGAGCAGGTGAGGGGCCGCGGCCTCGCTCGGGGCTGCTGGCTCCGCCATGGGTTCGAGGTTGACATTGTAGAGCCAATGGCGATTGCTGGCGAGGTGGGGGAAAGAGTGGTTGGGATGGCTGCCCGGAGGTGGAGATATAGAAAGCCGATGTGGGTGGCAACGTAGTACCAGCTTGGCCGGAGTTTGGGACCTGGGGTTGCTCTTCAAGTCAACAAGCTGAACATCCTGGTCAGCACTCTTTCGTCCCAGTGTGGCTTGCGCTTGAGTGAAGGAGCTGGTGCAGGGTCGCTGTCTGTGGAGGTGGGGGGGATGGCTGTCGTTTGTGGCGTGGGATGGTGAAGGCAGAATGCTGTGATTGAGATGGCCTGCGAAACGTGGTAGTGGTTGGTGCGCTGGAGGAAGAGGATGTGGAGTTGGGTCCCGTCACCTGCCTGTTGAAGTGCAGCACTCAACTGTGACAGAAGAGCTGAGGCTTGCTGCAATGTTTGTCCCATGTCAGTGGTCATCTGGTGGTAGCTGGTGGCTGCGGCAGCCAGCGGTGGCAATGGGCACGAGAGGCGCGGTGAGCAAGACCTAGTAATATCCCGGACACGCAGTGAATTATGGACGTGCCAATGAATTAGAAGTATCGAGCGACATGAAAGTTGGCAACGTGCAAGCAAGAACGCATTCCAAGATCGCAAAAAACCACGCGTGGGGGCAGCTGAACACTCCAAAAGTCCGTCAATAAACACGGTAGAGTCAAAGGTGAGGGTGGAACATGAACGTCAGGGCGATCGAGTGCAAACTGCAAAAGAGCCGGCTTTTGTCGCACTAGGGCACAGCCCCTTCATAATTGCATTGTCGGGGTGGAGGATCCAATAGCGTCCGCGGGCGTGGTGTACGGCTCCGTGCTGCTGGTTGAGCAGGTCTTTTGCATACTCTTCACCCCCTTGTTTGTAACTAAGGCCGGTACCCCAAGCGATGAGGTGGATTATGGCGCTGGCTCTGTTCTTGTCCAGACACCAGGTCTTGTGTAGTATGCTTGCCATCTCGGCGTGCAGGTACAGGAAGGTGATCAGCCTTCCCTTCCCACCCATGACCGTAGCTTCGTTGCACACGGTGGATGCCGTGTGCCCCTGCTTGGATAAAATCGGGCAGTGAGTGTTGGGTACCGGGGTGGGACACACCCACCCACACATAGCACGAGTCCCCACTGTGACGACCGACTTGAGGGACTCGACGCTCTCCAGTTGCGTCACGGCGCCCATGACCGGTGACCTGGTGCTGACCTTCAGGCCCGAAAGTCCGAGTCACGCATGGGTGGTGCTATTACTGTGACTAATGTATGTACTTTAGTGCTGTTTTTTTGCTTTCTTAAACACCAATATTGTTGTTTGCGTTTTAGTTTTTTTTGGCCCTTTCCGGATTGTGAAGACATGCCATTGAAGGAAAAACTCGCCTGTGATTCTGAAACCACCCTTCATGCCCTTCATGGTGGCCTGTTTCGCTTGCCTTGTGGATCATTTTTGAGTGTTGGCATCATGGAGCACAGCACCGAACAGGCTTCCCAGCATCTCAGAGGTGCCTCGTTTGGAGGCGCGGCCCCCGGCCTTTTGGGAGCGTGAACAGCTTGCGAACGGGAAGCAAGGGACGAACGGGAGATGCTTGGGACAACGTGCCAAAACAACTTAAACGCAGATTCTTAAGCCCACCAGATTCTTGGAAGATGTCCTGAGAGGTTTTGACATGGCACCTGTGATTAAGAATGCATCATCGTTTTGGGGAAACCGATTGTTCCTTTTTCTTCACTCATTCTTTCCTTTTTTCACCAATTCCACAACAATATCGACAGTAGAATGTGAGTTGATATTCCACCACAGGGAGGCTGATTCTTATGGCGATTCTGGGGCTCGCAGTTTTTCTCGCCAGCGATTCGGCGATTCTTGCGGACCCCAATTTAGGCCAACTGCAAGGCCGCTGTGTTGCTGCCTTCATGTTGAAGCAACACTCCAGTGACTCCAGGAACTTCAGGCTGATGACTCCAAGAACTTCACGACTGAATTCACTTGAAAAAGAAGGAGTGCTCCTTTGGGCCAGGCAAGCCGGAATTTTCCACAGATGCTGCGGCTGGTGCTGCTGCGGCCGCTACTCCTCACACTGCTACGTAGTTCAGGCCAGTGGGGGGCACCCGAAGGAGTACCAGCCTGGACTTGAAGGAAACCCACTACATTTCGCTACATGTGATAACCAGACGAATGCCAACAGACGGGCCATTTTGTTTAGAACCTCAGTCTTCTTCTTCCCTCTTCTCTTTCAAGTTGCCTTTGAGAAGCTTATGATCAGCCAGCCAGCAGGTTTACCACACAAGCTGGCCTGGATTGTTTTCACCCCCATTCCGCGGCTTCCGCTCGTCGTCTCGTCCGTGTTCGTCTCCTCTCGTAGGCGATCCCTTGGGCGACGTGTCCCGCCGCGCGGCCATGGGCTGTGGGACCTTGGTCTTGGACGTGGACTCCACGGCGCCGGGAGGCGGAAACGGGTTGAGAGGGGGATGCTGGATGCTGCTGGGCGACCTTTGTGACATGTACTTTGGTGCGTTCGATGGTTCTTGTTTGGCTTTCCAAACCCTAGACAGTCAGCAATCAAATCAACGGGTCTGAAATCTTGTTCTCTATCCTTCACCCGATTTCCCAGCAAATCTCTACTTTAAAAAAGGCACCCACCTGTTTTTCGCCAGATCCTCGTTGCTTGCTCGCGAGTGTCTTTTGCTGCTACCGCTGGCATGAACGAGGCTTTCCACCTCCAACACTCTGTCACTGGCAAGACTCCAAGGACGGTGCCCATAAGCTTGACTAGAGTGAATGTGAAGGTTGTGCTGCAAGACCAAGACCTCTTGTTGCGAGAACTGATTCAATTGAATGATTCCGAAGGGTTTCGAGGGACATTAGATCATCATATAAAGGATGTTCATGGATTTTCTAGATGCCCGGCTGAGCGTTTGGAGTCCTGTGTCAGACGAGTCCGGCTGGGGTTTGCTGTTGGTTCCTTGCAGATGTTCATAGATTTTCTGTATCCTTTTAACCCATCAGTCCGCAAGTATGCAATGGCTGAAGAGTGGAACAGTACCTTAGGATATGGCTGTGAGGAATTCATACTCCCCCACCAGTCCCCATGGCAGGTTGACATCCCTTATTATAGAGGAGGCTGTTCATTTTTAGGGGTCAACCAGGGTGCCCTGATTTTGACCCACAGTCATATCAGCATGTGCTGAAAGGACTTGAACCTGGGTGATGCTGGTGCCATTGGGGCACGTCTTCACCTCTTGCTACTGGGATGAGTTGGGCGAGAGCCCCTCTAAGCGTCCAAGCAGGTGGCTACAAAGACGAACGTATGGCAGGCCCACTGACTGTGCACAGGGGCCCCTCCAGTCTTGCATTTTGCATACTTACATGTGTCGAAGCCTGCTATGCAACGCCACTCAGAACCCGGGTATCGCTCAAAGCTCGAAAAAACGCGACAGAACACCCTTTTTTTCAGTGTCTTTCGGGCAACAGGCAGGTCAGGCTGCGCAGGCTGCGCGAGCGCGGCACATCTGTTTCGTCCGAGGTTCCAAGGGGAAGCGACGTTCCAGAACGACTTCAGCTACCAGATGGTGCTGAAGGCCCAGCTCTGAGCGGTGAGCCCCCTAACTTGCCTCTTCCAGGAACTGGGTGCCAAGGTGCGGGTGATGGTGATCCTTACAAAAGTTCTCACCTGGAGACTGAGGGTCCTAACCTGCTTGCAAAAAACACTCGGTCACCTGGTATCACCTGGTCTATTGCTTCAGAGCCCCGGTTGTCTTTTTTTTCACAGGCAGCTTGAGACACTGTGCAGAGTCTCAAGCCATCGAGAGAACGGTGGAGGCTCCTTCCTCCAGGTGTGGCCCTTTTTGAGAGTGAGAGAGACATATGGCTGTGGGGCATGGCACCCAGAGCCTGGGTGAGCCTGGGAGTCTATTCTGTTCATATTTTGTGGTCAACCAGGGTGGTCAACATGCCATGACCCGCAGCCAGTTGCTGGGAGGCATGTTGGATGTACTTCTGAGATCCTCAGGACAACCATCAACAACCCGGTTTGGGTGCTGCTTGTTATTTTCTTCCATCCGGGACTCCCTCAGTACGGGTAGGTGGGCGGATCATTCCGCCATGGCCTGCCAAGGCGGGTTTCACGCCCTCTTCGGCGAACCAAGAGTTGCTGGAGCTCACCCTCTTTGCCAGTGCTACTTGGAGAGCTTTGAGAGTTTGCAGCTGCCCTGTTCGCTTCGTAAAGCGCACAAATGACGATGGATTTATGAAGGAGTGGTTTCTTTTTTCCCCAAAGAAACCAGCTCGTTCAACCAAGCATGTTCAGGGCACGTGATAGCACACATGCTAGCTGCTTTTGTCACGATTCCCTTCTTTAGAGGTGATTCAAAACCTCACCGATCTAGATAGTCATAGACACTCGTGATGTTTCATCGGGATGTTCACCTGATTTCCTGACATCGTTGGCTTCTGTTTGGTGAGCATTTTTCTAAAAGACTAAAATACGAGTGCCTATTATAGTGGTTTGGACACATCAATGTCCAACCCCTCCTGCAGTTCGGATGCGAAAACAAGCGGACCATTTGTGTGGAACGTCAGACCGTTTCTCCGCGAGACCTCAGGAAGCCTCTCAAGACGAGCGCGGCCTCTCGGCGGATGCCTTTGGCGCCTGGACGAACCTGGCTGCGTTGCCGAAGAGCAGCCCAGCACTGCAGCTGAGGCGCGGGTCGGATCAGGTCACCAGGTCATCGGGTCGTCGAACGAGACAGGCCAGGCCATCCATGATAATCTTAAGAGAGTACCACAGCCACAGACTGGAAGGTGGCAAAAGTCGTTTTGTTTCCATTTTATCCTTTCTTTTGGGTGGTGTTTTCTTTCAATGATCGTTTCGTGACGATTCCAAGGAGTGCACTGAGTGCTTGTTTGGGACCCCTTTCTTCTCTGTGGAATTCATGGAAGATCCTCCTGCTCCTTTGAGACGCTCGATTTCGAGGGAATTGGCCCCGGACACGGCACCACATCCTTCTTCGTTCGGTGCGCTGTGCATGCTGGGTGGAAAGCAACCAAACACCTTCCCAAGATCCTTTGTTCGGGAACAACATGCACCGAACAAAGGATTTTGTGCAGCACTTCTTTGTTCGGGATTTTGGGGGCAAACAGAGCAAGTGGACGAGACCTGGGCGATGTGTTCCAAGGCAGAACCGAACTTGCCCACAACTGGACCGTCTCCGCTTTTGAGTTAGTGAGATGCTGCTCCTTGACTGACGGACTCTAGGTGCTTTCCACACCTCTAATGCCTACGGTCAGAATAATGTTTCCATCCATTCGAGCTTGCGACCAGTCCGAGGGTCTGGATGGTCCATGTTTCCGGTCGCACCAGGTTTCCATCCATTCTGCTGCATCTGGAGCCACCTAGAGGCCCTGAGTCCTAGAGCTCTTCATTCGTTTTCCCAAAGACTGGACGAGGCTTGCCGAATCACGAATCACCCCCCCCTTCCTTGATCAGGCAAGCAGTGTTGCTGCCCCAGGAAGACACGCCATGGTACACTGGCAGGCCTATGTACACCGGCGACTCGCCGGTGTGGGGGCTGGGCACGGCCCTGGAGGTGAGTCCACCACTCACTGCCCCTTTCGATCGAAGACATCCGTGATGCCGCATGCACATCAAAAACAGCCGAGACCTGCATGCGGCTTAGCCGTGTTTTGCACAAACCATGGCACATGGAGTTGGAGCTGAATCATGGTGTGGGGGCAGGATCATTTTTTGGAGTGAGGATGAATGGGAGCAAAAGTGGCCCGTTGGCATCAGATTTCTGAAACACAGAATCTGGGTGACTTGCTGCCCTGCGCCGGTGACCCTGTGGCGTGTTTGTTAGACCGAGCCCTTTTGAGATGGCGAAGTCTCACCTCGCCCAGCCGAACGTCAATGCCGGCGCCACTGGGCCTGTGACGCATCCGGCAGGCCCATTTACTCGCCAGGCTTCAGCAATCCCCTGGTCGGAGAGGCGCTTTTTTCTTTTCACGCCGAACAAACCCATCCCCACCCAAGGTCTATGAAATCAGCCGTGAACAAAGAACAACAGGCGTTGGTCCTCCCTTTTTGATCGCTCAAAATGGGTCACGATGAAGCTCTTCTTGAGGTTTTCAGGCCACCGGACATGCATTTTGAGGGCCGCAGAGTGCATATTGTGCATTTGCAGCCCTTTTTGAACAACAACCAGGCGGGTTCTTCTGAAGGCTACAGGGTTTCTCATGGTTTCTCCGAATCCCAAAGCCTCTACTTTGTGCCGTGGAAGGGTCTTGCGATGTTTTGAACCCCCTTCCATGCTTGTGCTCTGCCAGCTGGTCCTTTGGTCCCTCAAGAAGGTAGGCAACCTGAACATTCGAAAAGACACGAATGGAATCCTGACTCTTGCTGTCCAGACTTTGCTGCTGAATCCAGTGCCCCCGCTCGCCGCGCACGTCACCGGAATCTACTCCACTCGACCTGCTGGCAGTCACCCACTTCCACGGCAGGTGCCGAGCGGCTATCCATATCCTGAAGGCTTTCCAGCTCCTGGGGTCCGGACCTGCGTGAACTTCAGCAGCCTCTTGACGACCGGAACCCACCGCGACCGGGGTTTTGGAGGAGGCGTCCAGCGAGAGGCAGGCAGGCATTTGGGTAGGTGGAGGGAATGTGTAGAGCCCGGTGAGTAGCCAGTCCAACGGGGGGGATATAGTCTATAGTAGTGATGAACCCAGGGTGAGTAAGACACCGAGACTCACTTACTGACTCATTGTATGATCATGAGGCAGCCAGAATCCAAGTGTATTTTGCATGGTTTTCATTGTCTTTCTCACTCAGATCCCAACTCAACCAAATGCATGGAACAGAGGCACTCCCTGAAATAGTCATGGAGTCATCCAAGGGGCCATGCCATCCACTTCCATCATTCTTTCAAATCCTTCGGACATCGTTTCCACCATCTCGCAGCTCCACCATCCTCATGGCCTAGTAACAAGAAGCTACGAACGGGGCTCCTGGCCATACTGCTCGGAGCGATCGGACGCGTGTGCAACGCACCGCGGTCCTCCCGTGGCTCCGCCGCGACCGCCGAGGCTACTGTGCCACGTCTCCACACCAGATCCTCGGCTCGCACGGACGGACCTGGTGCACAGCCCGGGGCACCGGAACGGACTCTGAGGTATGTGAACACCGCCGAGGGGACGGCCTGGTACCAGGACACGGATGCCGAGTTGGGATTGCTCCTTGGAGGCGACCGTTTTTTGGGAGTAAACACACCGACGGGAGGTTGGTGACCAGTCTTTGGTTTGCTACCTGCTACCCCAAAAGTGGTGCAAACGCGTTAGGAAGACCCCACAGTGCATGAAGAAGCCGAGTCGCTGGGGAGGGACTCTGATTTGATGCTCTGGTGGAATCCATGGACCGGATTGATTGGAATCCATGGATCAATCCATCAATGAATCTGCGTCAAGCTACCAGGATTTCCAGGCAAACGCGGCGCGTTTTTCCGCGCGCGGACGAGTATTAATTTAGTTTAATTTTAACTCAATTCTAATAGCTTTTTGTTACTACTAGTAAGGCACTTGTTACTACTAGCGTGGCACTTGTTACTAGTAGTAACAAAGAAGCTATTAGGAACAAGACAATGAGCTTGTTACTAAGTTTCCAGCTGATCGCTCTCCAAGTAGCCTCCTTTCTCGCTCCGTTCGTCGTAAGGCCAGCAGCCCCCTACTTGGTAGCGTTCTAATAGATGCATGTACATATGTTGGAGGTTCGATGTGTTGGATCCATCGGTGTGTTGGATCCATTGCTGGTCACATCCGAGTCTCGGTCCTTCAACTCGCCCCCCGCCGTCCGCGCCGTCCCTCTGGGTGTGGGGCGGTGGACCGCCGAAGGTTTCCCTTCTTCGCGCTTTTGACGGGCACGGCGGTCCTCTTGCAGGAGATTCAGCAGCTGGAGCAGCATGGAATTTGGGTGGCCAAGCTTGGTGAGCAGCAAACCACGGGGTTTCGGGTGTGGAGAAGTTCTTGTTACATCTCCCCACTGGAGCAAAATTATTGGAGGATCATGAGTTTGGCGAGAAACAGGCAGAAAGAGGGGGGTGGGTGGGAGGCGAGGCTTTCTTGCTACCTGTTCTCTTTTTTCGGAAGCAGGAAGAGTTCAGACATGGCAAGCTGGGGCAAGATTCCACGGGTAGATCGACAGCACTGAGGGCTCAGATGCTCTTCAACCCCTTTGGGAGCTATGCATTGAGTGCTGTGAACTCGTTCTCCTTGACACCTGGCTGATGATTTCCGTCCGAAAAATTGTACGTCTGATGGGGAGGGGGCCTGAGTGGTGAAAGAGGGATACGATCCAAAGAGCCTGAGGATGTGCGGCACTGGATTTCGATTGAGATGTTCATGAGTAATTTGTTGTATCTTCATGTATCTTCCGTCTTTGGAGTTTTTGCATTTGGAGCACATGCAATTGAGTGCAAATGGGTCTCGGGCCAAGCCAAGAATCTAGCAAGCATTCCTTCTTGGGGTTCATGTGACTTTCTCTGGTTGCTCTGCTCTGCATAGCAACTGATCGTTCGGACACTCATGTTTGGTCGACTGGCTGGAACCTTTCTATACCACCTCCAATGTCCCTTGCCCAGCTGAACAGCTCGCTCCCCCTCCAACACCCGTCCTCCGTAGCACGCCGTGCTCCGCTAGGCACCAGGTGCCAAGACCTCCAAATCGCTCCAGTGTGGATCATTTCTCCACCCTGGAAGCCAAGGACTGAGCGCGTCCTCACGAACCTCATGAGCTTCCAGATGGAGTTCGCCCTTTCACCTGAAGCTCGGCGAACGACGTACACGACACGGCGACGCGACGCACGGATCCCTGCCGCTGCTGGCTGCTCGTTTCCTTGGATGCATTGACTATGCCTTAGCTTGGCAGAAGCGGAAGCGTCGAAATCTTCTTCTTACACCAAGCCGAGGACATCAGTGGGGCATTGACCTTGGAACAGTTCATCACGGCATGCCCATCATCTCCACTGCGGACACCTCTCATGAGCGGCTTGCACGCAAATGCAAACCAATCCAAAACAAGCACAAAAAAACAACAGGGTAGAAAAAAAGGAGCCGAGGGAAGATGTTGAAGATGTTTGAAGATCTCCAGAGGTCTCTGTCTTGCTTCTGTCTTCCTTCAATGAATGCCTGCCAAGGATTAGGCCCGGTGTGCAGTGTGCTGGCAGGTCCATCCTTTGTGACTTGCACATGTGTGGCTTGTCGATATTAAGGGTTCTTGCCTTCACAAGAAAACCGGGCTCTCACGAATACCGGGCTCCTCCGTTCTGTTCTCTTCTGTTGAGTTTTTGGAAACGTTTTCCTTTTTTCGATCATAGATATAATGCAATTGATTCGGAATTCCTACATCATAGATGTAAAGCTGGGGATTCTCCCACGCCCCACTTTCGAGTCGTCCCCTCGGGGCGCCAAACCGCAGAGCCAAACCTGAGGAGTCCTCCTTGCAAAACCATCCGCTGCAGCGGTGCGACCGCCTGCGGATCCGTGTGAACGCTGGAGGCACCAGCGGTGACGAGTGGGTTCTTCATGTTGGAAGCGTTGGAAGACCGAACGTTTGTGTTTTGGATCGTTGAAGAAGACCGTGGCTGAACAAAGATGATGCTGCTGCTGCTGCTAATACTACTACTACCACTACTACCACTACCACTACCACTACCACTACCACTGCTACTGCTACTGCTACTGCTACTGCTACTGCTACTACTGCCTTCACCACTACTACTAGTACTAGTACTAGTACTATAGTAGTCAGAAGGCGCAAAAACGCATGAACTTGCTTCATTATGCAATTGCATGCACCTGTTGTACCATCATCGTATATCCCATTTTTGAAAAGCAACACCAACACGGCGAGGTGATATTCGGGCCTCCATCACGGCTTCCGTGCGGCTCTTTGCCACAGAGGATAGGCATCCTTCGGTTGTCCCACGCACCATGAGCAGCTGCTCCACATCAGCAGATGACGAGGGGTGCTTAGATCACTGTAGGATGCAATTATTGGGAAAACCTCATACGCCTGCAGCCCTGCCAATGCTTCGATTGCACCAGACAGCTACAAACTAACCATGTCTGTCCTTGGTTTTGGGTCTCATGCTTGATGTTTGACAATTGTGTTTAGGCGAGAATTCGTTGCTTAACCCAATGACTCTTTCAGCGGTACGTCTATATGATAATTACATGGGTGTGTCTCGTAATAGAAAGACCCCAACCAATGAGTTTTTGTCTATTTTCCTTCTTCCACGGGGTCTTTAGGACACACACACACACCCTCTTTGCCAGGACTGGTGGCCAGGCTACCAACCGACCCAGTGGTATATCCAGCTGAAGTCCGAGTTTGGCGGTCTCAATTCCTACCGCAAGGTGGGCGGTGGTGTTTGGCTGAAGACTGGAGTTATTGCGGACCAGGTTCTTCGCGTTTTGCAGCATATCCCTATACTTCCCCATACTTCACCATACTTCACCTGCTATACTTGCAGGGTCCATGACAGGTCTACCCGAGGCTTCCAACCACCATTGTTTCACTATATATGTTTTACATTGTTTTACTAAAGAGTTTTGCACTACGACACCAGGTCAACCTTTCCTTTAACGGTTTTGGCAGACTAGGGATTATATATCAACTTTCAATCAACGATGGACCTGTGAATCAACAGGTGGCCAATGCTGGCTTCACGGTGTGGCAAGACTTCCTGATGGTGCAAACGACTCCAGAGCTTTGCGCCGCAGAGTGTTCGGATCACCCAGCTGGTCTGACAGGAAAGGTCTCGGATCGATGGGGTGAGGATGGATCAGTGCGTGAGTACTCCCCTGCAGAGGACCACATGGAACCCCAAAACCACGTCGGGTTGGTATTCGGAACATGGTCGAAACCACCAGTCAATCCTCAGGTTCCATGTGAGTTTGCGGGGGTGTAATCATGGACAAGAACAAGGCGGGTCGGCTGCGGAAAAGAACACATCAGGCTCATGTGATCTGGTTGAGAGTCGGAGAGAGTTGAACGGTGAGCTTTTCTCTTGGTGAACGCTTTGGGATGTGGATCAAGCAAGTCATAAGGGCTTGGAACGTGGATCACGGTGGGATCGTGGTATGGTCCCAAGCACACCGACGGGGGTGCCTTTGGGGGGCGTAGACATCTGAATTGCAAAGCGTGCAATGGCACATGATAGAAAACCACCCTTTGTCACACACCTGCAATAACCCTCACCGCAAAAAAGTGCCCCTGCAAAAACCCTCAGCCCAACATAGAAGTTTCTCCCTGTGTTTCCTTGGAACTTCTTTTCCATTGCGGATTTGAGTTGAGACGTTTCAACGCCGAGGTCTGAGTCGTTTGAACAATCCCGCACCTTGCAACTCCTTCAAGTATCACAAAGTGGATCAGGTGCAGCCGCGGATCCGCACGTTGGGCTCGACACGGAAGCGTTGGTGTCTCTGTTGCAGATGTTTCATGTCAGGCCTGTAAGATTTTCAGACCAGTTCCAGTCATGTTGGGTCTTATGAAGTGTTCTTTGAATTTCTTTGAAACATTTTGGAACCTTTCCAACCTTTCCTTTTTTTTAGAGTTTTGTTTCTTGCCAGTGGCGGGCCTTTGTGGTAAAAAAAAGAAGGTGGATTGGATCATGCCATTTTCTCACGTGAGACAACAACTCATCATTCAACCCTCAGCTGCACCGTCCCACTTCGGAGACCTCCCCCAGACCGGCCCCGTCGGACCATCCGAGCGACCGCGGCAGGACTGCTACCTCTCCAGCTACGTCGAATCCGCCGCCTCGCCGCTGCGGACCGCGCCTGGGACTGACGGGTCGGATGGACGGCCCATGGGCGTCCAGCTGATTTGGGGAGGTGATGCCGGTCCGGAAGACCATGTGCTCCCGGATGGTCCAAGGAATTGTTCAGTTGTCCATTCTGGCGTCCCTCAACATCAGTGAGCTGCGGATTCCGCACCGCCGGGGTCCGACCGCTTTTAAGGATTGGCCTGGAGATGTCTTCGACTACTACGAGTACCAGGAGAAGAATAGATCTTCCTGACTGGCCGGGAGTACTTTTGCATTTTTTTGGTTCCCATCTCTTTTCAACAAGCCTGTGATGTTTTACTCTCCGACTCTTTTTGCTGCAACACTACTAGTACAACGAATATTTAATGCCTATTCATTCTGCGACTTGCCCACAGGAGCAAGTCGCCTATGCCTTGCAGACCCAGCAGGCTTGAGTTGACCCAAGCCTGGATCTAGAGTGTGTAGACGAACCTTTCCATTGGAACCATTGGAACCATTGCAAGCACCCCTCGCTCTTCATGGATCGCCCCCGCTCCCGGACAGGTCTTGGTCTTCTCTGGGGTCTTCTTCTCCAACATCACTATGCTGGTCGCAGCCTAAGGGGCGCCAGGTGATCGCAGCCCATGCTTGGCCGTGAATTTCTTCACGGCCAGCGAAAAGAAGTGGGGCAGCTGGCAGGTGGCCCCAACAGTGTTTTCTTGATACTCAGATGAGTGAGTGAAGACTGTATTACCAGGACCTTCTCAGTGACCTCTTCAGGATCGGTAAGTGACCTTTTCAAGGCCTAAGTAACCTCATTCTGGGATCTCAAAAGGTCACTGGGAAGGTCCTGGTATAGGCTTCTTTTTGATTCGCCCCACCTGCCTGTTTTCTGTGGCGCTGTCGGAGACTCGGCTTATTTCCCCCGAGGCAGAGACTTACTTGCAGCCGCCGCCTCCGTGCCTCAGCATGCGGCCGATGCGGCAAAACTGGGATAATCGGATAGTCCTCTTCCAAGATGAAGATGGGAAGGATTTGAAACATCTCATCTTCACTGCAGAAACAGGCGACTGGAGTCAGACAGACCGGAGAATCGTCTCCAAAGGTTTGGATGGTGCCAACAAGAAGTTTCCCAAAGAAAGTCATTTGCGCCACTGCAGCTGTGCCCAAAACCTCATCGGAAGGGCGACTGGCATTGGCCACCCAGGAGTGCCCCGGCCTTCGGCGCTGTCGAGCTCTTCTTCCCAAGCTATGTCAATCAGCCGTGGCTGCGCTGTCGTGCCTAGGTCGTCGGAGAACCGGAGGAGGAAGACACAGTGGCTATAGAATGGAGGACACATGGATAGACCGGTGGATTCGCCCATCGCAGAAGGTTGTCGAGGTCTATCTGCTTATCACAGGAGCTCTACATATCTCTACATTCATCTTGTGGTTCGAACATCAAAGTGTGGGGGGGGGGAAGAAGAAGGAGTCCTTCACATCATCTCTTGTGGGGGGAAGTGCTTAGTGCTTCACATCCTCCTTCATACCGTATGAACGCACTGTTCACCCCTTCACTCGAACCCGAAAACTCGAAGCGTTCCCGTGTGGAACATCACCCTCACCTGGCGCGACCACGACCACCCGTCCTGCTCGTCCTGCTAAGGGATCGACTTAAGCTTGGTGGTGCCTATCCATGGACAAAGCACCCCAACGAGTGCCGGCCTTGGTGGTGGGAAGTCCGACTAGACGAAGCGTAGGGGAGGAAGCGAAGCAAGGCCGGCCCTACTGGATAAGATGCCATTGACATAGTCCATCCATTTCCATCCATAAACCATCCTTCAATGGTCTTTCATGCATCATTCGCCTATAGAGTCTCATCATTTGTGGAGTCTCCAAAGCTAGCGACGGGAACCCCCCTGGGAGGCTTGGATTTTCTGGTCCCCAGCGGCTTCCTGGGGGCGCTGCTGGCGAGCTCTTGAGGGTTTGGCCGGGTGGTGCCCGGGAGGCTGACAGTGTGGGTGGGCTGGGCATGACGTGGTCTGTCCGGATCAGCTGAACACTGTGCATGCTGGAAAAAGAAGCAACCGCGGTTTTGAAAAAAAACAACGTGTTCTTCACTGGTCGTCGTCAGGGGGAACTCCTGTTCTTCCCTCCAACCATTGTCCAGTTCTTTTTCACATTTTCTCTAACTCATTCTTTTTCCAATGAATGGTGTAGAGCAACATGGGAACAAATCGGATTGGCTCTTTTTGCGGTGGACCAGACCCCTCAAAATCTTCGCACGCCAGATGGCGCTCGAAACGCGACATGTCGCGGTGCCCACGCCCTTGGGCCGTGGCTACTGTGGGGTGGGGCGCTGCCGGTGGCTGCTGACAGATGGCCAGGCTGGTTGGGCGCAACCTAGATTACATAATTAGTAGTAGAAGTTGGGGTACTAGCACTGTACTAGGGCTGATATAAATATTATTGATATACCACGAAAAGATTGATCGACTTGGATAAAATCAAGCAGGCACCATATGCTGTAAGCGTAGCTTGTAGAAATTGTCCCTTAGCGATGTCTTTGAAGATGTTCACGTAGTAGCATGCAGGAGGGCACTTCCTCCCTTCTCCCATATGCAATATGTCTTTTCCCTGTGTGGAGAGCTCAAATCATCCTGCGGCCCCATCAGCATCGCATCAACCCTCGCCTGGCCATCGGCAAGGCCCTGTGGCCCAAAGTGAACTACGGCTTTCAGGTGACTTTTCGGAACCCTCCTGACCCGCGCCTCGTTGGAGAGTCCGGGTGCCCCAAGGGATCGCGCGGAGGAGCGGGTTGCGTGGAGTACGTCGCGCGTCTCCCTTTAGCTCCAAAACTTGGCCTTGAGAAAAAGGCATGGTTTCTCAGTGGCCACACACACACACATGACAGACAAGTGTGCATGCATTTGTTTCAGAGTCTGAACACTCAATCAAGAACAAAACACGAAGTCAAATCAACAAAGATGCTTTTCCCTCAGATGAGTAGCTCACAGTAGCTGGCTCATCCCAGCCCCTTCTGCATTTGCAACTTGAAAAGAGCTTTGGACTCAAAAACCATTGGTTGAAGGGAAGATCTGCAGGACTCCTTAGGGGTGAACATCATGGTTTCCTGTAGATTTTTCCTTCAACCCATTCATGTCATTGAGATCTCCCTGGACGCCTCATTGCCTCACGCCCTCACGTCTAACGCCTCTTCGTCTCGGCCCAGGTCGTGGATTCTGCAGGTGGTCAGCTCTGGCTTCGTGGACGGACGGGGCACTGAGAGGCCAAGCCATGCGCGAAGAAGGACATCAGACGAAGAACAGGCAGAAAAGTCATAAGATTTCCATGTACTCAAGAGATCTCAAGAGCCATGTTCCAAAGATCCAGATGTATATAGCATGATTTTTGGGGCACAGCCTACAACCAGTGTGGCCATGTTCTTTCCAATCGCTGAGGCCCGAGCTACAGCTCGGCTCCAGTCTCTGTGCCTCATCCGCTGGCCGTGGACGGGCAACTCTTAGGCCGGCGGAGCGAGCAGCGCGTGCGGCGGTGGCACGATGTGGCACAGAGCTGGTGGTGTCTGTAGAGTTGGAAGGATCCCAGGCACAGTAGTCAGTAGTCTTGATCTGTGAAGGCAGCACCATGGGTGTTGACCAGAAGCATGAGTTTGTTGGGCTAAGACACCCAGAAAGCAACAGAATTCTGAAGTTCATGAGTTGGGGCAGAAGGCTGCCAGCTTCACTGGGAGGCTGCGCTGTGCACCTCAACGACCCCAAGTACCAGCCCAGCTTAGGCCGGGAGGTCAGGAGGTTCAGGAGGTCCAGGAGGTGGCCTTTGCCAAGTGCAAGCAACATCGGAAGCCAGATCTGGGTGGTGGCACCAAAGATGGATGTATTGTTCAACCTGACTTGGGATGATGGAACCCAGTGACCAAATATTTCAAGTGGCTTGAAACCAACCAGTCTTTGGACCTCCCAAACCTGGCCACAGGTGTTCAGAGGTGTTGTAGCAGGATGATCTCACAGACACCACGAGGTCTGCCGTGGGTCATGGCACAGGACACGGAAACGCGCGGCACCACCGACCTGCAAACACCGACCTACCTGGAAGGTCGGGCTCCAGGTGTTTGGACACGCACCGGGCTTGAGTGTGACCTTTTGACTAGTGCCCCTCAGGAGGTGCGCCTGTGGCTTGAGCACGACTGGTCTTTGACTGTAGGTTCCAGGTGATGCTGTCGTAAAGGATTCGATGGCTTGCATAGAGTCTGGTCAGCATTGGCACGTCAATCAGTTCAAGCGGATGCTCCTGTCTAGAGGGGGTTGTTGCGAGCGTTGAGCTTTCAAGGTTCTCCGACACCGAAGTGAGGGTGATTTTACGCCCCTGTGTCCTTGCTGTGGTCAAGAGGATTCACTTCGCCATCGCCACTGGCAATGTGCCCACACTGCTCTTTCGCGTGGCCAGCTGACACTCTTGAGTTCTTGAGGAGCAACCTGAGTGCTTCACCATTCGGGGATGGCCTACTTGGCCTGCTGCACTTGACCAGCTGCGGCATTCCCTTGCCCGTCTGCCGGATCTGTCTGCCAAGACCTTTTTCGACCCTGCTCCTTGGGTTGGCACTCAATTTGAGCTCTTCACTGATGGCACTGCTGATCTTCCATACCAAGTCGCAGCGAGGGTGGTGTTTGACTGACCCGCAGGAGCCTTATGATTTTCTGGCCGAATGTCACGTGTGGTCTCGACTGCTTGAAGCAGGATGTCGGCTGTGTTGGCCGCAGTGGCGGACCCGCCAGGCCAAACCCTCCAATGCGGCCTATATAGCATGGACCGGATGCATTAGGTTGCGACTGGCACCAGGGGTCGACACGCGTGTTCGCAGCTTCATGCAAAGCTTTGATGGCTTGCGAGCCATTCGTCGTGCCGCACAGTTCGGAGGCATTGCAAGTGCTGCGGAAGACTCCATTCCGCCTTGCCGATAGCGGTGTACCGCTTTGTTCGCCATGCGCTCCGCAAGTCGCTGACGCATTGCTGGACATAATAAGGTGCGTTAGAAAAAGGTGTTTGGACCCATCGCAAGTACCGCAAGGGTGTCCCCACATCGGCTCAACCTGACACGAATACTGGAGCTACAGAGCCCTGAACCCAACCTGTTACATGTGTCCTGATCACCACCTGTTGCCATGTGACTGGAGCCCTGGTCATGCTGTCAGTGGTGGGGGTGTCACATGGCAATCAGCTCCGAGTCTTGACGAGGAAAAACTCGTGGTTTTTCGCCTCGCGACGCTTGCAGGCAACACAAACGCAGGGAATCTCAGAGGTTTCTGCTGGGGCGAACTCTTTTCTAATCTGCTTTTTTAGACGGCATCTCTTCCACTCCTGCAACCAATCACAGCAAACTTGAAAGAACATCTAATTAAGCGGCCTGCAAGTCTGCGTCCCTTGAAATGTTTTGGTTTTGGGGTCTCATTGTGAACAGGCTGTTCATGGTGATTCGAATTGCGAACAAATCCACACACGCATGGCTTGACATGGCTGACACATCCGACACGAAGGGCGAGGATGTGACGTCGACTTCTGGGCTTTTTGGTTTCATTTACAGCGCCGGAACCGGCCCGAAGCCCACGAAGCCCACGAAGCCCATCGCCGGCTCAGTTTGAAGGCGGGTTACCGTAACGGTCATCCGAGCCGCAAAGTCACTCCAGTTGGTCCTGTGATCTGATCCATAAAGCGAGATTGAGGGTGAAATCCAAAGACTCACAGGGAAACTCTTTCGGAAAGTCCCTACATAGGCAGGCTGCGGCAGACTGTCTCGCGCTTAAATGGCTAGAATACAAGGAGGGCAGTCTCTGCTGGAAAGAGGCAGGAATTGGGCATAAGCCACATGTCCTCTGAAGATTTTTGTGAACATCCCCTTTGAACATGGAATCACATTCCTGTTCAAACGTGGGCATCAACTGCAGCTGCTGACTCACCAGGATGATGTGGCGCGTGCTTTTCTTGCCTCTCCTGGCCCATGCCAAGGCGGGTAGTTTGTCACACTGAGTGATGAGGAAAAAATCTGAAGCAGAAAAAACATCACAGCCCAGATAAACAGAGATGAAACATGAGCTACTTTTAACACCTCATGTTTTCAGCAATCTTCCTACAATTTCTTGCAAGCTTTTCAGATTTTCCACCAAGGTGTTTTTAGTTGGACCTTTGTGTCGGAGCCAAGAGATTGCTCGAAAGAACTCCACGTTCGCGAGCTTGTTTCCCTTTTCCGGTGGAAGACATCACCCTGGAAACATCTCCCCCAGCACGATCATCGGATGGGACGCTTCCCAGTGTGCCCGGTACGTCGCCGGGCCCGGTACGCCGCGTCGAGGTGCACTTCGGAGGTGACGAGTGCTGTCCTGGGCTGGTCTTCGAGGACGGTTGCTGCCGGGGGATATGAAGGTGCCGGATTTTTGGTTCCATCTGCTGGTTGCACCCATGTTTTTCAAAAAGGCAGATGACAGTAGTAGCTGAAATGGTGTTTGATTGTCCACCTCACCTAAAGCTGTGAGGATTGATGACGCTTTGGTGTAGCAAGCGATGGTCTGAGAAGAAAACACATCTTTACAGCGAATGCTTTGGTCTTGGCTGAGATCACTTCGGCCTACGGCAACTTCACGTGAGCTAGAGGACGAATCAAGGTACTTGAGATGGCCGCTACCTGTCACAAACCGGCCTGCGAGGATGGCTGCAATAGTTGTGTATGTGGTGCAGACGGGAGCAAGGCGCGGCAGGGACAAGGAAGATATGGAAAAATGACACATCTGAAAGAGACTTACACTCGTGAGTATGAGCTGCAAGAACTCTTGACCACGGCTGCTTCAAGCCTTGATCTGTGTTTGCTGCTCTAAGTATGCAACCACACAGCCAACTCCTCTCATGAACCTTTAATTCTTCCATTCTTTTCTGCGTCGAGGCCTCGTCGAGCTGTACGAACCGGGTGTGCTCCGAGACGGAACCAGAACCGGAAGGCTGCGCTTTCGCGGGCGAACCGCGGGTTGAAGCGTCTCGTTTGATACTCTTTTTGCTTTCGTGGAAGCCAACAAAGCCAGCAAAATCAGTAGAAGCAACAGATCAATAGTGATCAATCTGGTGCCGCCTTATGTGCCGGTGCAGCGCCTTATCTTCTTATTTCTTTCGTGCAGATCTGCCGAGATCGGGCAGTCATGCTTCGTTTGCCTCGACTTCCCAGGCAAGTGCCAACCTTTAACTGCCTTCCCGAAGGGCGATGGCCAGAGCTCTTAGTGTCAGCCAGGTCCGTCACAGCATCAATTTGGATCAGTCGAATCCTTTGCAATGGAGTGAGAAACTCTTCTTTACAGTAAAGTATTTTAAGGTGGATCTTGAAAGAGGTGTTTGATCTGTGACTTTTAACCATCAGAGTACCGAACTGTCCCGGATGCTTTTCCTCCAAGCTCTCGAGGGTGGAGAGCTTGGAATGCCACCGGTCGCACGACCAAAGCCTAAGCCGCTCCCATGTGACTGAAAGAAGCATGCGATCTCTGAAAACAAGAAGAAGAAGAAGAGGAAGAAGAAGAAGACGAAGAAACAGGGTCGCATATGCCGCATGTTTGCCATCGCCATTTTGGTGGACACCCGGCTGTCGTTTGATGTTGCGGCCACAGGCCCTTCTCCTATCTCGTCTCGTCTTGTTGGATACCGAGGTCTGAACACCTGCACCTGTCCCGCGGACGGGGACCTTTCAAAGGCCCAGTGCACCCGCCTCAAATGCCCCAAGGCGCCCCGCGCCGGAGCGGAGAATGTCCCCGCGATGAGACACCGCGAGAGAGCTGAGACACCACGATGTTCGGCCGGGTGCAGCGTTTGGTACGTTTTTGCACATGTTTTGCCAGGGTTTGGAGCCAGATTCTCAAGTCTGTTTGATCTTGTTTGCAAAGATGCGCGTGACCTGTGGAGATCACATCTTTGCAATCGTTGATCTCGTTTTGGCCTTGAACAAGGACGAGTGATCACTGGGGCACTGAGTACGTCATGCTGAGCCAACGGTCCACCTGCTGATGGTAAGCCTCCAATGGTCCACCCTCCCAGCAACTGCTTGAAGTTGTTTTCACCTTTCAGTCCGGTTTTCAGGGATGAGCCAGCAGTGTGCTTCTGAGAGGATGACTTCAATTCGTGTAGAACCACCATTTGGATGTAGGCACCCCATTTGAAGTCATGAACCACCCCATTCCTCTGAGAGGATGGACTCTTGATTCATAAACCCACCCCATTTGGATGTACGCACTTGCGGGTCCATGACGACGCATGGCTCCCGCGGTCCTGGTCCGCTAATTTGGGGGAAGACGCGGGTACCGGTGGATGATTGAGTGTGATTTTGATCGGTGAACAGTGAAAGACCGTACCGAAGAGCTTGTACAAGTGAATGAAAGACATGAGCATCGAATGAAAGACAATGTAAGGCGCAGGAGGCAACTGAGCAAGATCATGTTACAAGACACTGAGGACGAATGATGCGGTTTTGCACCATGCTTGCGATATGTGGGGACAAGGCTGCATCGTGGTTTCATGTGAACAACGTCTTCTTATGAGGGGATTTATTCATCAAGAGTCTACATCAGAGTGACGTTCGTTGTCACCAGCCATCCAAGACCGCCCACAGCTGTCGCACAGAGCCCGGCCGCACCCCACAGCTGCAGGTGGACCTGGCGCTGACGACCCAGTCTGTTGACGAGGGCACTTGCTGTCCTGGCTATTCATTCCAACACTCGGATGGTTGCTTGAATGCATCAGTGATGCGGTGACCAACTGCACTGGACTCCGCAAGCCTTCATGCAGCTGAGTGATGCTGAATGCTATCAAACTTAGCTGGAACCTTCCACCCTCCCACCCACCCGCCTTATATATTATATATGCACGGTCGAAGAAGCACCCGCAGATTCCGTGTCCGAGGCTGCAACACCTGTCACTGTGGAACCTCAGGGCTCAAGAATCAGTCGGGCTGCACGCTGATGGCTTGCCCTCCCTCGATGCTACCACGCGGGGGGCATCCAAGAAACACAGCAAAGATGTGCCGGAAAACACAAATGCTTACACAAGTTTCAACATGATTGAATATCACATTTTAATCAACTAATTTTGTACATCAATAATCATCATCCTGAACATAGTCCTACAATGTCTTACAGATGTACGGAGCAAAAACAACAACACTACATGAGCCTGTAGTTCTGCTGGTGAGAACAAACGGACTGACAAAACACACGGCGTTTCAGGGCCTCACAGGCCGACTTGAGGAAGTGCCCAAAAACCCTGAAAACCAAAGAGGTGCTCGGTGCGCAGATGATCGCTTGGTATAGCTCAGTCGTTCGACCGCCACGAGTCCACTGATTTATCACCAGTCCGGGTGATGAACGATGGTCATGATGGAGAGGTTTCACAAAGACGGTTTTCCGACGTGTGGACACGGTGGAGAGTAAGGTCCTTCACCTAAACTGCCACAAAGTAACTGCTCGAAAACAGGTGCAGGTTAGCGAGCCCACCTCTTGTTTTCACATGCTTTCAGTGCTAAAGCAGTGCTCGAAAGTCTGTCTGCTGACTGAGAACTCCTCACGTCTTATGGCCGCCCAGGCGAGCGATGCATGCCGATGTCCACCTTCAGGGCCCGCCAACCCAGAAAACCGGTGGGCCTCCTCGTGAAAAAATCGAACAACGGAGGTCGCCTTGCTCCCCACCGTTGGATAATTGGGTACTTCCTGGATTGTTCCACCTGTTGATTGTTCCTTTGGATTGGATAACAGGTGGGCGGAGTCCAAAGGAAAAAAGGACGGATGTCGGATGTCTCCGGTTTCGACCATCCGCGGCGACGTCTCGTCGCATGTGGTGGCCGAGCGAGTCGGATCGAGTTGGATCGATGACGGAAGAGACATGGACAAGGCTGGCAATCGGCCGAGTAAAACGTTTGTTGGGAACAACATGGATCAATTTACAGGTTTTTCCGTTGATTCTCTAAAGTTTTAATAACTAAGATATAACAAGAACAAGGAAGGCCTAACGGTACAATGTCAAGCAGCCCCATTGCAATTGCGGGCCGTTTTGTGGACGCAAATCACGCTTGCATCGCCGGAAGACCACGTAGAAGTAAAGCTAAAAGCACTCACCCTTCCATCCTTAAATTGTGAAAAGGAGTGAAAGCCGATGACTCCCATGATGTCTACATTCGCTGACTCCCGAGATGGTCTTTATGGATCTTGATGGGCTAAAGCCGAACACCACTGTTGGTACATGTTGGCACTATCGTCTGACCGTGC